GTTATTTACATGAGTGATGTTTTTATATTTAAATTCCAAACATCTTTTCCAAAAATAAATGAATACTTTAGAATATTTTTAGTCCGTGATACGCTGGTAGCGTAATAATTTATTTTGAAGCAAACATGATGATCGGAAGAAAAAAAAAATGCAAAATGGACAGGAATATTTGTTACTTATTTTCGGAGCGTTGTGAATGTGTACCCGCTTGCGTCGGTGATCGCAGCTCCCGTCCTTTCTGGCTTGTTGAAACAAAGAACGTGTAGGTAAAGAGATAGTCAGCGCTAAATACCCAAACGCGCAGGGAAGTCATGTGACATCCAATCTACGTGTAAGATGAGGTCGGTGCACGGAGTATAAAGTATTTATACTTCGTGTGTCGGTCCTCCTGATCACTAGCACATTCTGTCTCACCGAACACATGTACATTGCACTTCCAACTTGACAGCTCATAACAGTACACATTTCTCTACACATTACACCCAGACTTGGGCCTATTTTCTACACATGTGCAATTCATTCATTTATGGTATTCCTTGAGGTTTCTCCTTGCCGGTGTCACTTGAGGTGCTAGTAATAGCGTATGAAATTTACGCTGTCACCAGCCTAAAGCTCAATATCAAAGTATCAAGGTCGGCTCTAATCTCCGAACTCGCAGGGAGTTCAGGTGGTAGCGACGTCACAGCAAAGATCCGCCCAGCATCAACATCAATTTAGGTCGATGTAAACATTGTTCCTTGCTCCTCACTACTTTGGACTTATTTTATTATTTGAACCACTATTTACACTTACAGATACACTATTTATACGTTAGGTTATTTATATTTATTAATCTGGGATTCTTCGTGGCATGCGATCACCTAAACATTGTTCACAATATTTAGATGGTAATGTAACACACATAAATATTGTTCACAACGTTAATTTGAAGATATTTAAATACGTCCATGTCGATGTCTGTGAATATATGTGATTGTTTCGAGCATTCTATAGCTGAATGGCCTGGATATGTTTCTCCGTATCAGAATGGCAAAGCATAATTAGTGATAATTTTTTTTTAGATTTCTGAAATATAGAAAAATGCAGTATACATAAAAAATCTTTAGTAATCTATTCTAGTATCGGATATTTTCAGTTAAAACCGATTCATTTACACTGGTTTATACTCATACTACACCGTAAAATACCCCTAAAGCCATTAAGGGTTCAAATTTGAGTTGCACCATTGATATTCAAAAAGCCTTTAAAAAAACTATTCTGCCAGTTGCTTATTTTTAGATGGTACTATTTCTTCGTCAAGTTCATCAACGAAGCTAAAATTAGAATATAAATGATCTCTTTCAAAGAATATCCAGAATAGGGCTCAGGCTGTCTATCAACTGATCCAGTGCTATGACACTTTGAGGAATATTCAAATCTTGAGCGAAATCAATTTGTGTTTGACTTCCGCGGATTCTACCACTTATTCAACACTTTAGGCCTTCACTTAAATGATGCCTTTGAGCCATAACTACTGAATACAGATTACCCTCAGAAACCACATTCGCTTTAAACAAGACTACAAGCCCGAATTCCAACATTGATCGCCGAACTCCAACACTGATAATCAGTCACCAAATTTTCATATTTCCGGATCTGAGATAAGCGAAGAAGTGCAATTTTATGTTCAATTGTACTTAACTAGCATAAAAATTACAGCTTTAGGGCATTGGTTGCGACATAAACTTAGTGAATGTACATTTTCTCATTATTCTTTAATTTTGATGACCAGTGCAATTTCTGATTTAATTCTTCTAAAAAAATAATCGAATTTTCTATTTCAAACTCAGCTTGAAACAAATTAGACATTTCGTTACCCGGCTGTAGCAAATGGTCTTTACTTTCCCTTCTACCAAGGTCTTCCGTTCCACCACAGTTCCTTATCTCTACGAGCAACTAAGTTTTCTTCTCTAGACAACAAATCCGCGGGCTTTTCTTTTCCTTAACAGTGATTCTACAAACCTGAATTAAAAAGAGTATCTTATATCTTCATCCCTGCGTTTTACAAACACTTTCAATTTTCGAGAATATCCTTTTGATACAGTGAAGAATAATCTCTAAAGAGAGTGAAAATGCTTCTGTGAGAGATGGACAGGTCTCTTTCAGACCTCAGAGGGAAAAAAAATTACAAGATTACATCTAGATAAGATAACAGATCTAAGATGAGATAAGAAGAGACTAGGGAGGTAGCTGGTTATAAACTCTTTGGGCCTCAGACAGGAAATTTCCAAAGATTAGATCAGAGATATGATAACAGCATACTCCTGCCAGGGATCATACTGCCCTATCCATCGAGCGAGTTGAAACTCTCTCATGTGTCAGAGAAAATCTCATTGAGAAATGAAAAACATTTTTTGTTCAATTATGAATGATGTTCTTTAGGGCATCATTCATAAATTAACTAACTCTTTCAAGAATTGGTGTTCATGGAATACCAGGAAAGAATGGAATACCAGCTTTGAAGAAAAGAGGAAACGAGGGTACTTGAAGGGTGTTAAGAGAGTTAAGAGAGTTCTATATGTATTCCTCATACCTCTCGTTGAATATACAAGGTGTGACACAAAAAAGAGACTGATCCAATAAATCCTTGTCACCTTCAAAGTAGTTCCTTTCAGCATTCACACACTTTTGGATTCGGTGCTGCAATTGCTGGCAACAGTTTTGGAGCTAAGTTTTTGGAAGGCCCTTAAGGAGATTCTCCGTTTTTGTCTGAACATCTTCAGCTGAGGTAAAATGGGTTCCCTTTAAGTAAGATTTAAAATCAGGAAATAAAAAGTCGCATGGAGCCAAATCAGGTGAATAAGGAGGACGCTCGTTCACAGTAATGTTTTTGCTGGTCAGAAAGTTCTTGATAGATAGGGCCGTGTGAGCGGGTGCATTGTCCTGGTGCAACGAGCATCCATCACTCCACAACTGTGGAATTTTTTCCTAATTTTTCAAGAAGTCTTTATAGTAATTCAATGTAGTAGTATTGATTTACAATCCGACCACTGGGAACACATTTAATCGGGAGCGCCCAGCACGTTCATCATCTTCCACACTATCCTTTCCCCCTGATTCCTTTTGCCATTTAAATACATGTGCATGAGACAAAGTTTCATCTCCATAAGCATCGGTTAACATTTGAAATGTTTCCTCCGCGGATGATTTCTTAAGTTTCACAAGAAACTTGATGTTGATTCACTGTTCGGTTTTTACATTAGACATTTTCCCGGCAGAATGCAGTTGCACGTGTCACTCAATGACGCAGTACTCCCCACTGGCGTGGGCGGTTAAGTCGAAACTGTCCGTATAGATAGAGGAGTTGTGTGGCATCACGTCACCAAAACAGTTGTTGCCAACTCCACTCTGTTTTCAAGCTACACACTTAGTCTCGTTTTTTGTGTCACACTTCGTATATCACATCTTGGGAAATCCGAAAAGCATTCTGTGAGACGTAGAATTTTTTTCTCTATGGGAAATTGCCTCGTATACATATTACATTTTAGCCTTGAATCGGAACGACTAGTGTGTTTACCAATCTTACCGCTCCCTCACTCATAAAGATAGAAAATGGATCCGACTACATATATAAAAAGTAACTTCCTTGAATTTCTTTGTAGAGTATGAATGAATATCTCTTTAAGTCAAAATAATTCTCGGAACATTTCATCATCGGGCGAACGAGGTCATGTTAATAGGAAAGTGATGTCTATCCCCTTTTTTCCCCACCCGAAAAAATTACTATAGATTTAAATAGTTTCCTTTTGTGTGGCGCATATTAAAAAAAATTAGAATATTTCATCATCAAGCTATTGAGGTCATGTTGAAAGGAGCCCCTCCACACTATGAGAGTCACTTTATGACAGCAGATGTCATCTGGAAAGTGTCTTATCTGCCCTATATCACTTTACACGTCTTTTTATCATATAAACATTTAACTGAATCAATGATCCCATTCATGCTCTACTAAAAATTTGTTTTAATCCTATCCCTCTTGATCGAACCAGATTGACTATCACAGGGAAGAGGTCAAGATAAATTGAAATGGCAGCGCATATCTGTTTAACGAATTAAAAATGCCTTTGTAAGAGATAGACGGAAGGGTTGGTCTCTCAGGCTTCCGAGGAAAAACGTATTACGATTAGATCAAAGATAAGATAGCTTAGATCTAAGATGAGACAACGGAATTGACCGAGTCGGCGGGAACTGTCTTAGGCCTCAGAGAAAATTGTTGGATGGTATTTCCAAGTTGTTCGAAGTTAGGACCTCTAATTCCAAAAATACCAATTTTTAAAATGAATTCCATCCAGTTCTAAAGAAAAGAGAAAAGCGGAACTTCATTTATGAATGACGCCTTAAAAGGACATAATTTATAAATGAACAAAAAGAGAGTTTTTTTTTAATTCTGAGTAAGAATTCCTTTGAGGCTCGAGAGAATTTCAACCATCTCGTTGGATCTCTGGTAGGGGGTGAGTTGTCTTATCTCCAGTCTCATCTTTAGAACTTTCTCCTTTCTGAAGGCTGAGACCCGGGTCAACCAGCTTCTAAGTCGTCATGAATCTAAAGCTTTACAGAGTTTCAGTGAGCTCGGCCAAACTCTGAGTCTCCTCTCTGAAAGGAGACTCCAATATCTCGTTTTTCTCTGAAGGCCAGAGACTGCTTTGATTCACATTCGTTTTTCCTTCGTATCAAATAGATTCTTTTAACTCGTTTTCCTGTCATGCATTTAAATAAATGATTTCTGTGGATGGACCCTGTCATGAAAAAATTGACACATAGAGCATCAACGCATGTCGATTCATCATTAATGAAAAAATGGAATATTCTTAAAAGAGCGTTTGAGATACACAATAATTCTAACTGTTTTTGCTTATATATTAAAAAACGAAATCAGTGGCTATGTGGAGAACTACTTTGGGACCACAACGAACAACCACGAGTAAAGCATGGCAAATCTGAATGAATTTATATTTTTCCAGATGGAATAGCAAAAACAAATTTTGTACCTACATTTTTTATGAATGTCCAAATTGTGGGGGACGCGTTCCGCCTTGGATCGGAACGACTCTTGTGCATCACATTTATGGCTATGGAGAATCTCGGATCCTTCAGCGAGGCGAAATCTCAATGAAAATGATTTTCTAAACATTTTCTTTGGATCGGATCAACTCAGCCATTTTACCTCTCAAGTACACAGAGCTAGGGAGAGAGAAATCCGTGTTTAACTAACTGTTTACAAAAGAAAAGTCCTCCAGGGAATTTCTTTGAAGGGTCTAAATGAATATCCCTTTACGTCAAAAAATTCTCAGAACATTTCATTATCGAAGTCACGCTGAAAAGCAAGGGAGACCTTTTTCCACGCAAGTCAAATACCACAGATTTAAACACTTACTAGATTGCTTTTTCTGGGTGCGTAGTCACATATCTCTTTACGTTAAAAAGAAATTCTGAGAACACTTCATCATTAAAGGTCAGGTTAAATTCCGTCAAGCAGACAATGAAACAAAATTGTTGGTACCGTTCCCAAAACAGAATAGAGAGGATAGACGCTTCTATAACGGTATTCCTATAGTCATGAAACTAAAATGATCTCAAGGAGAGTTCTATTTATAGATTCCTCATACCTCTGGTTCAATCTATTTTATAGGATTCTTCTTGAGCATCAGTTGAGATCCGAAAAGCATTTCAATAGACGTTGTATCTTTAACGAAAGAGAAATCCGAAAAGCATTTCAATAGAAGTTATATCTTTATTTTGGTCTGTTTAGGAAAATCATCTGCGTACAAGGTGGTGATTTCTCTTTGTGTGAGCAGAGTAGACTGTGGTGATTTTCTCTGTTATACACGTTTCAGCCACTCCTATTTTGTTCCAACAAGCCTACTGAAACTCTCTAGCGTTTGGAGAAAACCTTACTGAGAAAAATATCTGTCATGTTAGTTTAAGGATGATAGTTTCTTTCTTTTTTTAAGAAAATATTAAATAATTTTTCAGAAAAAAAGGGGCTTAAGAGGAAATTATACCGTCTCATTGAGCGAAATTGCTGAAACTCTCTCAAATCTCAGAGAAAACCTTACTGAGAAATAAAAAAAAATCTTTCTTTTTGTGCATTTATTGAATGATGTACTTTAGAGAATCACTCATAAATGAGCTACTGTATAGTATTTCTCCCTTTATCTGTATTCTTTCATGTTGTAACGGTAACATACTCAGCGCGTATTCGAGAGGTCCAGGTTCGTGCCCCGGCGAGGGCATTGCTCATTTTTCACGTCTCCCGCTTCGAAATAACCTAATGTCTCTATACTATCTCCTTCTTGGTTTCCTTAGAATTAGGTGGAATGCATTCCAAGGAATAGAATCTAATCTGTTATCATAGATCTGATACATTTTCATTGTTCTGAGACCTGAAAGTTTCAGTAAGCTTTTCCATCCCAGATAGAAATATTTATTCCATACAATGTGTTGCCACTGCTCGCTTCGAAATCGTAGAGTTTCTTAGCCAAAATTTCGTTAAAGTTTAAAAAATATGAAATAGAAAACAAAATAAATCCAAAATTCAAGATTCGGGCTTCCAAGTGCCAATAGTCTGTGGAGAACTTCGTTGTTCAAAATGTAATGGATCTAGGTATCGCTGTTGAGTGCTTCTGAATTACAGAATTCAACAAAGGTGCCACCAGCTGTTTTTTCACAATGCGAGAAACATACATTCATGCATATTCTTCATTATTTAATTCCTTTAAATGAAATACAGGACGGTAATATTTGGTGGCAACAATTTGAAAAGTGATACAGCCATTTATAGTGATTCGACGCAAAATGCCGTTTCGAGACGAATAGCTCTTCTGTGTTAATTCCCGTTTGGGCTAAAAAAATTCTTTCTTTTTGTTCATTTATAAATGATATAAAATGATAAATGAAGTACATTTATAAATGATAAATGAAGTACCTCTTTTATCTCTTCTTTAGAACTGGATGGAATCTGTTCTAAAGAATTGGATCTGATCCATTATTCTTTGAGATCTGAGAGAGAGAGACTAAAAACTCCTCCCCAACGTCTCGCTTCTCTCTCAACGCTTAACTTTCTCTTTTGAGAGGGAAGGCTTAACGTATGTATATCAGTGACATTGTTTGAAATTCTAATATCTTCGGTTATTTATGAATCAATAGATTCGTGGGGAGTGTATTTTAAGAAGAAAAAAAGTGAAGAAACCAACTATGGAATCAGATATGTTTATACCGACTTCCTAACAAAAATTCAACGAGACTCTCTCGGAGAGAAAACTCTTACTGTAAAATTACCGATCAAAGAAAGAATTAAAGAGATGAGATCATACATAAAACAACAGCTCATTATTAGTTCTCAGAGAAAAACTCTTTGAGAAATCAAAAAACTCTTTCTCTTTATTCATTTATGAATAATGTCCTACTGAACTCTTTTCTTCAGAATTGGATGGAATCTATTCTTAAGTATTGGATCTGATCCGTTATTCCTCTCAGACCTGATAGAGGTTCACTGAGCTCCTCTCCAACATCTCGTTTTCCTTGTGAAGGATTTAAAAAAATGGGCTCCACTTTCTCTATTGACAGAGAAGGGATTCTTTTCCCCTCTCACGACAGATGATGTCCCAGTCTACGGCAACTCGATTCGATGTTGTTCAGAAATGGATGGATTTATTTTCAATTTAGGTGAATTTTTTATCTTTTTGCAGTAACAATGCTGGTGTTAAACACACAGATGTTAGAAATCTGTACAGATACATTATCAGGTTCAATGTTCCGTCTTACTTTCTTTGGGAACATGCAAGGACCTGACTCGGAACAGGGAGCTTACTAAAGCTATGTTCAATAACTGTGGGAAGTAGACAAGATACACAGGAAGGGTATACAAAACCCTTTATTTTTCACTCTTTACAATAATTTCCGTACTTCGGAATACAGAGACCAACTACTTGTGGTCTGAACGTAAGAATATAAAAATAAATAAACTAAACTCTAACTTAATTTGGAATAATCAACAAGGACCTACGTGTAAGATTGGCCGGATATTAACAGGAAGCCGTATGTAGTACAGAGAACTGTTAACACTACAATACGTTTAAAATTATCACGAGGATTAAACCTCTGGCCTGGAAGACAAACAGCAACCTAGTAAAACTTCTGAGGCAAGCGGCCTGCTTCGATTAACTCTCCTCTCTCTCGCTTGGCAAAAAGCCACAACTTAAGTACTTGGCGTTCGCCAGACAAATTTTGCATAAATAAGTTAACGCTTTTAATTCTGGCCGGAAGTAGAAAATAAGAAGTGATAGTAAAGATTTAAAATAAAATAAACGTTAGTAAAACTTAAGATCCTTACATACTTCCCGCCAGAGTTAATTAGTTTGAAACTGAGGTCTAAAACGACCTTGTTGAAAACTTTTAGCTCTAGAATCTAACGCGAGGCCAATCTTTTACAAACATTTCTCACTAGAAACTAGAAATTTAAAAAAAAAAAAAATCGTTTTTACAATATCAGCTCCATGGACAACCAATTTTTCATCTGTACTGCATCTAAACAGGAGCTTTTATTCAAATCTGGTTCCTTCCAGAGATCTGGAAGGAAAACTAGTTTAATGAAATGTTACACAATGAAATGGCAAGTAACATGAATATTTATATTTCTCTTAACATTCTTATTTCATTCATGACGTTATTTAATTATCTCTCCCCGTGCTCTCTGACATGTGTTGTAAAAGAAACACCAAACACGAACGTGTTATGTACAATGTGTTTATGTACGTGTTCAACACTGCCTCCTACAATCAAAACACTAACTAACGTGTTAAAATTCAACATAACAAGACCTCATAACACACCCTATCTTCATCTCTAAACCCTGAGGTACTATTCTGAAAGTGGCTAACTCTGAAGTGTAGCGTCAGAGAGCCTAACTACATTCATTCAACCTTTAACACATATTCACCATAATTTGGTCTTTTTACAGTCACACGAATAAAAAAAATTTTTTGGCATTACTTTCACTTTTTTTAACCATATCACAGTATTTCTTAACATTTAAATAACAGTTCACATTGTATATAAGGAACATATTAACATGCCGTTAATTTTACGCATTTTAAAACATACATTAGTAGTACATTGTTAACTTCTATTCTTTTCCAAGCAAGTGCCAATTCTTCTACATTGAAATACTACATTTCAAAAGTCTTTCAGACTAAAACTTCTTTCTTGCCAGAATGTTTTAAATAAAATTTTATACAATAACTTTTTACAATATTTCAAGTATTTACACATTCCTATTATACATCAACTTTAGTTTTTACTCGCGAGTAATTGAAAAACATAATACCAAAATAGGTAACAACTCATTTCTCGCCTTTTTGGCGATAAAGGTAGACCTCACATGAGGTAAAACTTCTTGAAATCTGCCACTTGCAGTAAGAATGAAAATTAACTTAAGTTTGCAAAGTAACATAAAGTTTTACTTATCTTTGTGATATTCGGACATTCTTTTCTGCCCAGTCCTGGAAGGTAGCGAAGATTCTACGGTTTGATTTATCCTCCTTCTTGTGCGGGCTCGCCCTTCAGTTCCTTCCTCTAGAAGCTTTCTTTTTCCTCCAGTTCGGTCACCCTTGAAGACCTTCTTTTTCGCCTCTGCCTGTGGTCTTGGCCGTTTGATGGCAGCTGGTCTTGGCGGAACCGGGACAACTTCTCTCTCGTTCCTGCTTGGATCTCGTTGCTGGCCGTTCAAATTTTCCTTGTCTTTTCCTCCGCCGCTGGTGGCCCTTCCGCATTCGTCGACATTTGCTGCGTAGACTCCTGTCCGATGAGTAGATCTTCCGTTTTGGGAGCCGGGTTATAGTTGCCGTTATTTCTCCTGGCTTTCTTTGCATTCGTCGTACTTCTCCCTTCTTCATTCTGGGGGTGGTCGTGCGCTCTCTTTTCTGGTCGGTGGAACGGCTTCTTTTTCTTGTTACCTTCAATTTTCCAACGGGGGAAACTTTCTTTTCAATTGCTCCTGCCTCCTAATGGCTTGCCCTTGTGATTGTCGTTGTTCCACCTCTGGAGCTTGTGCCTGCCGTGTCTGCCGTGCCGGATCCTGCAAAAGATCTTTGAAAATTTTGCATTTTATTACGA